TTTAGGGTTTGTGCACACTCAACCACACTAGATAATGCCGAGTGATTATCCAAACCCGAAATTCATGGCCCCACTTAGCTCCCATCAGCTATGACTGAGGGCTCCTATTGCCCTGCCTCTCTCTGTGACTTCCTGGAATGTCAGACGTTTTAATTGTTAACTTTTGACAGTTTGAAATAGTTTTTTGTTTCACCATATACAGGGTGGCCAGGCTGTGCCGCCCACGGTCAAAAGTAGCTAAGTGTGAGCAGGAAGGAGGCCAGTGCAGGTTTTGAGGTCAGTGAGAACAGACAACATGCACACAGGCTCAGGGTGTGCAGAGTTTCCTTACAGCAGGAGGAGAGAGAGAGGGATCAGGTGGTACATCCTTCCTGCACAGCGGGTGCATCCCCTCAGCGGCCAGTGTGGGCGGTGTGGCTGAACGCATTCCACTTGTCGTCCTGAGCACCTTTTCACTTATGTTGCGTTCCCTGTTCTGTTCAGATTTGGCCCATCTTTCTTGGGTTTCTCTTTTTCCTTCCTGAATTGTAGTTCTCACACTCTCACTGGTCAAGTTTTATCATTGATGCCTTTCAAATATGGGCTTACAGATTTTGGGGTTTGTCTTTTCATTCTGGAGTCTTTTTACAAATACACCACAACTTTAGAGTATTTGAATTCATCAGAGTATTACGGTTTGTATATTTTGTACCATATTCAAGAAGCCTTTCTTATCCCAAAGTTATAAAAATATCTTCCTATGTTTTTTCTAAATACTTTAAAATTTTGCAGTTCACATTTAAGTCCTGGATCCGTCTGGGATTGAATTTTTTTTCCCTTACATGTTGTGAGGTTGGAGCCACTTTCCTTTTTTCCCACATGAATAATCATACACTCCAACGTATTTATTGTTCTCCTTCTTTCCTCATTTACATGAGTTATATCAAGTGTCCGTGTAAAAACAGGGCTGTTTATGGGGGCTCTATCCTGTTTAATCAAGCTCCTTACCTATCTGTGTTTGTTACCATATTGTCCTAACCATGATAGCCATATAAAGTCCCTCCACATTATACCTTTTTTCAGAAAACACTAGAAGAAAAATAAAAAGAAAAATAAAAAAAGAGACTAGTAGGACTGAGAGACTCATAATATAATACCCAAAATGTCCAGGATCTAATAGAAAATCACTTACTTTATCAAGAACCAGCCATCTATAGATTCAATGCAATCCCTATCAAGATTCCAATGGCATTTTTTATAGTGGTAAAACAAAACAAAACAAAAAAACTCTTAAAATTTTTGTAGAGTTGTAAGAGACCCCAAATAGCCAAAACTATTGTGAGAAAGAAGAACAAAGCAGGAGGCATCACACTTCCTGATTTTAAGCTATATTATATAGCAATAGTCATATATCGAGTCATACATATATATATGACTCAATATATGATTATCTATGAAGCCATATTATAAAGTATAGTCATCCAGACAGTATGATACTGACATAAAAACAGACAAATAGACCAATGGAATAGAAGAAAAATAAACCCAAACCTATATGGTCAACTAATATTTGACAAGGGAACCAAGAATATGCAATGGAGAAAAGGTGGTCTCTTTAGCAAATTGTGCAGAGATAACTGGATATTCCCATGTGAAAGAATGAAACAGGACTCCTTTTTTTTACACCACTCAAAGAATTAAAGACTTAAATGTAAGACCTGGAACCATGAAACTCCTAGAAGAATTATCATATGGTTTCACTTACTTGTGGAAAACGAGGAATAACATGGAGGACATTAGGAGAAGGAAAGAAAAAAGGAAGGGGGAGGGAAATCAGAGGGGGAGACAAACCATGAAAGACTGTGGACTTCAAGAAACAAACTGAGGGTTTTAGAAGGGGAGGGGGGTGGGGGGATGGGTTGGCCCGGTGATTGGTATTAAGGAGGGCACGTATTGCATGGAGCACTGGGTGTTATTTGTAAACAATGAATCTTGGAACACTACATCAAAAACTAATGACATAATGTATGGTGACTAACATAACATAATAAAAAAAAAAAGAAAAAGAAAACATAGGAACAAAGCTCCTTGAAGTGGGTCTTGGTAATGATGTTTTGGACAGAGCACAAGCAACAAAATAAAAAAAGAAATAGGTGGGACTACATGAAACCAAAAAGCTTCTGACAGGGGCACCTGGATGGCTCAGATGGTTGGGCATCTGCCTTCAGCTCAGGTCTTAATCTCCAGGCCCTGGAGCTATTTTTATTTTGTTTAGGTATATTCCTAAAAGTGGAATTACAGGATCATATTGTATTTCTATTTTTAATTTTTTAAAACTTGTATTGCTTTTTTTTTAAGATTTTACTTTTTTTTTTTTTTTTTTTTAGAAAGAGAGAGAGAGAGAGCATGGGCCAGTGTGGGACAAAGAGCAGAGGTAGAGGGAGAAGCAGACTCTTGGCTGAGCAAGAATCCCAATGTGGGGCTCAATTCAGGACCCCATGACCATGACCAGAGTTGAAGGCAATTACTTAACCAACTCAGCCACCCAGGTGCTCCTATTTTTGATTTCTTGAGGATCATCTGCACTGTTTTTTGTAGTGGCTGCACCAATTTACATTTCCACCAACCACCACTGTAGGGTTCCTTTTTCTCCGCATCCATTTTCAGCATTGGTTATCTCTTGTCTTTTTGAGTTTGGCCATTCTAACAGGTGTGAGGTGTTATCTCCTCGTGGGTTTAATTTCCATTTTCTTAATGACTAGTGACCTGGCTCCCTACCAATTCCAGCATAAACTCAACCCCAACCCATCATGTCATGAGAAAAAGCCACTGTGAGTTAGGACAGACCCATCTCCCCATCTTTTGGTAAGGACCATCCCATATCTCTGCACCTCGAAGAGGCCCCTGGTCATCATGCAAACCCAAAAGGCACACCAACAGCCAGTGCTTTGGCAGACCACCCTCTTGTTACACAATGACCCCTTGTACCTCTGGATGGAGAGGAGAAGCCCAGTCTCAGCTTCACATGGCACCAACGTCCCATCAGCTCCTTCAATCTCTGGACCTTCTTGTCTGTTGTCAATCCTCTGCCCTACGAGTCACAGTAGAATGAACTTTGCAAAGAAGAGAGAATCCCAACTGAGGTACACATGGGATTGGTGATGGCTCTTCCATGTCCATGTCTTGAGAATAAGCTAACACACAGGAGGGAAGCAAGCCTGGGGGATTTGTACCCTGGTTCGGAACCCAGAAACTAAATGGAACCTTTGAAAGCCTCTGAGGTCACAGAGCCAACTTGTGTGGCCAGAGGAGAGCAGGGGTCCCATGGGGACTGCGGGTGCTTGGAGCTGCAGGCTGGGGGGTCCTAACACCACTGTGGTGACCAGGTGGTGACCACTGTGGTGACCAGATGCCTGAGAGGATGGGATGCTGGGGGCTCCACGCTGGACATGATCCATCCTGACCACAAGGAAGTGACATGTCACAGGGGTGAGGAAGTCCCATGGAGGAGGAAATGCTCTAGTGTGGCTCCATTGTGTGGGGTGAGTGTGGACAGTGAGAGGAGCAGATGTTGTTTGTTTAAGGGGACGGCAATCCCAATCTAGACCTGGACCAGGAGCTGTCTTGTTATCGGGATTGAGCAGATCCGGTGCACCAGGTCCAGGACTCTGCCTCAGTTCATGCTGCTTCTGTCCCCAAGCTTCCTGCACCCCAACCAGCTTGAGTCAGCGTGGAAGAAGATCGTGAGACCAAACACAGGCAGGACGAGGAAGCAAAGAGACCCCAGAAAGCAGAAGTGGGCCCTGCAGAGAGGACCCTCCGTGAGGAGGCTTGAAATTATCCCCCCTCAGGAGCCTGGCATTGCTGTGGGTGACGTCTGTGCTGCAGACATGACCCCAGGGGACGGGAGGCCGTGGCTGCCTGCAGCGCTGCTCCTTCTGCAGGTCCCAGGTGAGCGGGGCCTGGACAGGGAAGTCTGTCCTGAGTGGGAGGGAGGGAGATGGGGGGTGAGGGTGTGGGGCAGCCCAAGGGGAGGGAGGGAGGGAGGACATGGGAGGGAAGAGAGAGAGCAGAGATTCTCCTCAGATTGGCCAGCACTGCCTCAGCAGTGACCAGGAGGATTCAGTGTATAAAGCAGGTGAGTCATGTCCATTATAGTGGACAGAGCAGCCCTGAGTGGAGGGGCTCCTGTGACCACCATTACTGTAGTGTCATAGCCAGAAACAAGGTCTTGTTGCATCACACACACACACACACACACACATACACACACACACACATCAGGGACACACTCTCATTGTGCCATTCTGTGAGGAGGGAGTTACATCCCCTCTTTCTGATCTCAGGAAAGCCCTGACTTCTGCCAAGCCCTCCTCCTGACCCTGAGGGCCCTTGAGGGACTCAGGGGTCACCTTGACCTCAGATCCAGGCCCCTCTGGTTAAGGGTCACACTTGGCTGTGTTTTCCAGGCTGTGTTTCCCAAATTCTGAGTAGTCCCATCTCCCTGGTGGGCACCGTGGGGCAATCCGTGAGTGTGATATGTCCATATGAGAAGATATACGGAAACAATGCCAAATACTGGTGCAAAAGCCCATGTGTGTGGAAGATTGTGGAGACCACAGTCCCAGACGTAGAAGTGTGGAATGGCCTGGGACATACCGGTGTGGGATTGATACATCAGAGGTTCCAGGATGTATGTTCGACCTCACCTACCCAGTTGTGGTGTCTGTGACCCCAGGTGAGCTGTGCACACCCCTCCCCCGACACCAGCACCAGGGCTGCCTGAGACTGGGGCGGATCACCCTGACTCTGGCAGGAAAGTGGTGGGACATAGGACAGAAGAGTGGGAGGAGGATGGGGTGGGTGACACAGGACACCAGGGGTATGCCTGTGTGTGTGTATATGTGCACATGTGTTGTGTCTGTGTATTTGTCTGTGTGTGTCTAGGTGTGTGAGTGTGTGTGTTTGTGTGAGTTGTGTTGTCTGCACATTTGCACAACCACATGCACACCTCTGGCTGACCTAAGTGTCTCAGTGTGCACTTTCATGCCTAAAGCTCTCCCAGGGTGGGCGGTGGGAATGGCCCTGAGTCTGGGGACGGCTGTCTACCTTTCTGTCCTGACAAGGTCCTGCCCACATTGGAGGGGACCTGAGTCTCTTCTTGGATCTCTCTCTGTCTTCCCAAGGGGGAACGGGACCATAGGGCACTGGCTCCTCTCCCTTACTGGCTGCCCAGGACCCCGGGGCTCTAACAGGACAATACTGTGTCCTGGATGGTTCCTGAACACCAGCCTCACAGCTGTGATCCTGGGGGTCTGCACCAGCCTCGACAGGGGCCCAAGAAGGAGCCCCAGACCCTGATGTGGGGCTTCTGTGAGCATTTAGGGAACACAACTCCCCTCTGGCTTGACCCTCCCCATTCCTTCTGTCATCCTGTCCCCACCGGAGGGAACCCAGAGAAACTGCTGAAAGCTCCCCTCAGACAAAGGAGGGGAAAAAATGAGAAAAATGAGTTCTCAGGTCCTATGGCCCCAAATATATTTCCATGTGCTGCAAAGAATTCTTTACTAGAAACCTGTTTTTGTTTCCTGAGAACCACATGGAAGTCATCCTTCTGAGTGTTCAGGTTTTTGTCTTGTGTTCTTACTCCAACGTTGGCCCTGGCTCCTCTGACGTCCTTCCCGCAGGTCGTCTCTCTCACATGGGGCATTGCCCTCCCAGGCCCCTTGTGGGCTCCTATTTAACAGCGAGGAGAAGAGTGTCCTCAGACACCACCACTGGGAAGAGAAAGACCATTGTCCACTTGGCTTCAGGACAGGGAACTTTCTGTGTGGTCCCCCGGGTGTGTGTCTGTCTCACTAGATCTTTCTTTCTGTCTATCCTTCCATCCCGCGGCCACCCAGGTTCACAGTTCTGGCTTAGAGTTCGGGGGCTGAGTGCACTGAGTGCAGGATCCATCATTCAGTGGGGACTCTGCTGAGCATCTTGTTTCATGGTCCTCACTCCAGACATCAGCCCTGCCTGAGGACCCGGCCCCACCTCCGGCTCTGGATCAATCTCTGCAGAGGAAAGCTCAGCCCATCCTCTGCCAGGGGAAACCAGGGGCGGGTGGCTGAGCCCAGAGCCCTGTGCTCCTTCCACACACTGCCCCATGCCCTGCTGGGAGATGCTCTGCCTCTGAAATCATCCACCTGGCCAGGGTGCACCTGCAGAGGGGGCCAGGGAGGCCGGAGTCTCAGGCAGGCCTGGGTGTTGCTGTGGGCGGATGTGGAGCCCGGACGCCTGTCCAGATGGCCTGAGTGACCAGGACTATGTGAGTCGGAGCCACACAGCTGACAGAGAGTGGGAGAACCCGGGGGGGGGACAGCAGGCCTGACGTGTGCTTCCCCCCACCCCAGCCAGCACTGCAACCCCCAGCTCTGTGAGCCCCCCCCCAGCACCCTTGATATGGTTTTGGAATATGGGTGAGGTTTGGTGGGGTGGGGTCCAGAGCTTACAACCAAGAAAGAATCCTTGAGACATCTTCGGTGCAATAATGGTGGTTTCGTTAAAGCTCAGGGACAGGACCCCAGGGCAGAAAGAGCTGCTGTCCGGCTTGTGAGGGACAGCTGATTGTGCACTTGGAAGTTTGGGGAGGTAAGGAAAGGGGGAGGTTTCAGAAGGCTTTTCGTGTGATAAAGAAGACTCACAGGATACTGGAGGCCTTGCCATTGTCAGTGTTAGGGTTCTTTTTCCCTCTAGGAAGGCATTGCCATGAAGACAGCTGGGAAGTTCCTGGAGTAGTGTCACCTGTCCCACCCAGGAGTATGGGGGGTGGGGTTGTGGCGTGTCAGCTTTGGCTTGTCCTCAGCCTGCCTTCTCCTCCCTCATCAACAACAGGTCTTCACACGGTCCTGCTAGACCCCACATTGAATACCGCAACCTCAGACGACTACTACACCTCCCGCTTACATTCTGGGTAAGGGGCTAGCAGCGGGAGACCTTTGACAGCTGGGTGATTTCTGGGGAACACGGGGGGCTGAGGTGTATGGGTGTGACTGTCGTGGCCTCAGTCCCACACTTACTTACCAATTCCACACCTCACTGTGGAAGTCCTACCAAGCGCCAGGCCCTCTTCTAGGGATACAGCCCCGGGCCACCGAGACACAGTCCGGCTCTGACAAAAGGTGGGAAATTCACACAGTGAAGAAGTCAACATGTTCATCAATAGAGGAAATGCCAGCTCATGATGAGTGCTTGGGGGAACTAGGACAGATGGGTGGGGGAGAGCATGTGCAGGAGAGCCACAGGGTGGCGGGGGCAAGGGGGGGGGGGGATTGTTCTTCAATACACAATGATCAGGGAGTCCTGGCCGGTGAGAGGACATTTCCCTGGAGACCTGTAGGACTGGGGGAGCCCGCACTCAGGTATCTGCAGAAATTGGGCTCTGGGGACAGGGAAGACAAGTGCCAGTGTTGTGCAAAGGGGGCCTTCAGGTCCCGGCCCAGGCCAGGTGCTCTGGGGGCCCCTGGGTTCTCTTCTCAGCTTCCCCCTCCTCACCACACCCTCGTTGTGTTGAGTCCCCCCAAAATTGGGTACGCCAATAATGGGTCCGTGATTAAAGGAGTGAGACTGATACAAAGCGAAGGTCAAGCAAAGCTTTATTTCACGCCAAGCATCAGGAATCAAACTGGCCGGCCAGGGCCGCACCTCTTACAGAGAGGGCGACCCCTCCCTGCTTATCAGACTAACTTTTTATAGAGCAAAGGCCATGTGGGTGGGCCTGGCCACACACAGGTGGCCAATGATATTGTAACACACAGAGGAAACTCCACAGTGATGCTAGGTGACCAATTGAATTACAATTTACCCTAGTAGACATTTGAACCAGCCTATCACCTAGTTCAGAATTGGCGCCCAAAAGGTGCCCAAAGGGTGGGGCCCATACTCCCTGGTAGCTAGCAGTATGCGCCTCCACTGATTGAATACCTCCACCTGGCCTGACCCACCCTTGTATTTGGACTTTATTACGTGGGCCTGGTTTCCCGGACTTGCTTTTAAATAAGTTCCCCGGGGGTGGGCGGCGGGGGGCAAGGTCAATTTAAGTTTTACAACAAAATGGCAGTTCAACCTGGGTGGGGCCGCTCTGGCTGAATAGGCCCTTACAGTTGGAGAGTCATCCTGTTGAAGACCAGGCCTCTAAGAGAGATGAGAGGTGAGTGGGGTCATTGATTACCTCCAGCATTAACTACTGAGTTTTAAGGCTAAGGTTTGGAAGCTGCCAGATCCTCCCTGGGACTAAAGCAAATATTTCTGATACCAAATGGGAACTACTGTTTGTGGGAGAGCAGACATCAGACAAATAACCCCAGTTATTTGCTAGTCCACAGACAGGTAACTCCCAATGGGGAGGGTTTAGATAGAACTCTTTTCCTGGCCCAGGTCCTGCCTGCTCCCTGGGGTCTCCCTCACATCGCTCCAATAACCAGGCTCTCTCCAAGTCCATATCCTATCTCAAGGGCAATTGTTAGCCTGAGGGTCACAGAAGTGGTCTGTTGATGGGACGGTCCCAGCCATGGACCCACCTGGGCCTGATCTCTGTGTGGATTCTTGTGGCCCCAGAACATTGACACAGGGACGAAGGAAAGTAGAGGGTACCAGGGCATCTCCTTGAGGACGTGCTCACTGCCTGTCACTGTGTCCCCCACAGGTCCCTGCTCAGCTGCATCTACTTCCGGCTCCTGGTCTTCCTGGAGGTGCCCCTGGTCCTGAGCATGCTCAGTGCTGTCCTCTGAGGGAACAGGCCTCAGAGGGGATCTGGCGGGAGGCAGTATCTGCCCGATAATGAGTATTGGTAACACCAATCGCCTATTGACGACCTGCCCAGGAACACAGCCCATCTGATGGATGGGAATGGCCTTCTGACCAACACATCCAGCCACCGTCTTTATTTTATTCCAAATACTCTGTAA